GTTTGTGGGAAGGGGGGGGGGGGGGGGTAATAAGGTGTATCCAATTGCTATGCATAACTTAAAAGTGTATAACATACCTGAGAACAAGTCATTTGTTTATAAACAAGGAACTCTCACAGTTAAATTGGATTCTTAGTAATTCCATAACTCAGAAAATCAATGTACAAAATAAAATGAAATTTGATGTGTAGTTACCAAATGTCAAGAAGTTGATTTCTAACTACATTGTTGATCAAACAGCAAAGCTTTATAATTTTCATTCTCGAACGGTACAACTACTCATTCATAACAATCCTGGACCCAGTTCTTGGGCTGCCCACGAAGGCAAAGGGGCTTGAATCAAAACTGGCTGAGCTGTAACAGGATGCATGAAAGACAAGCTTTCTGCATGAAGTTCATGGCCGTCATATGTTCTACCATTCCATTCATATACACCCTCATACTTCACATCGCCTCTTATAGGAATTCCAAGATACTGGCAATGCAAACGAATTTGATGTGTTCTTCCACTCCTAGGATACGCTCTTAACAGAATCTCGTCTTTCTCCGCATCACAATCAACTACAGATTTCTCTTCAACAACAGTAACTCTTTTTTCATGTTCTTCTGGTCTTGAAAATTTTTTCAACCGATCTTGCCCGTTTATCAAGATAACTTCAAACAAAGTTTCCATATCTCTAACCATTGATCCACCAGGTAGTTTCCGGCCAACGTCGGATGCAGCATAAACACGCCAGGCTCCATATTTTGACCGACCATGACCAGATCTAACAGTGATATTTTCCCATTCTGGAGCTGGACCAATGCAGCGTGCAATGTAGGTTTTCCTAACCTCGTGTTTAGTAAAAGCCTTTACTAGCTTGGCAGCCATTCTGTGTGACTTGGTGATAATTGTAACACCACTTGTATCACGATCAAGCCTATTAGCCAGATGGAGTTCTGGCAAGTTTACTTGATCTCCTAAAAAATTAAACGAGTGTAAACTTAAGTCCAAAGTAAGAATTTATCACATATTAACCAACTTATAATACAACTTTTTATCCCTTGGTAGAATCTGAGACAATCTTCATCAATACACTCGACAGAAGAGGGCCACATTTGAATCAGTCAAAGACTAGATGGAAAAGTATGCTGCTCGCATTATCCTATATATAAATCTGCTATTTTTCATGATCAATCAACCCGACAGAAGTAGGCTTAATCAGTCAAATACAAATCTGCTATTGTTCATTCTCAAAATATATGTGAAGGTAGTTAGCATACTTAACTTCCAAAGGTTAATAAGTTTCAAAATTTCTATGCATTGATTCGTCATAATTTATTTACCGCCTAATAGCATAACAGAATGGAGAAGAAAACGCCATCAAAGTACAGTCTTTTTATTATTATTATTATTATTATTATTATTATTATTATTATTATTATTATTATTATTATTATTTTTAATTGATATGATCACAATGAGGAAGATAAAAGTACAGCTACAATTTGTTTATATCAGTTTCAAGAAAATAATAGCACAATGTAATAAATCTCCAAATAACACCAATTTAATACAAAAACTCAAAAATGCGCTGAATTAAATCAATTTTATTGAGTAAACCCAATAAAAAAGTTAAATGCCTGTTCAATAGAATGTACCCGAGTCAATAGAATCATTCTTAAGTAGAGTAGGAACAGCGGATAGGATACTCTCACAGTAAATTCCCTGAGGCTTATTGATAGCAATAAGCCACTCATCTTCAAAAAGAACATCATTTCTGTTAAGAGAAAAAATTGATGATTTTGAAGAAGCTGACAAGGCCCTATTCAACTCTATATTCTTGGATATGGATGGCAATGGTGGGGACAGTGGAACTGGGTAATTTTGCAGAGCTTTGGGGCCGCTTTGCAACTGGTTTTCAAGAGAATCCATGGGGGTTGGAGCTGCCATGGAGAATAATCGTGAGGGTTTGAAGATTCTCAAGTATGAATAGGAGAAAGGGCAGTGGGCATTATTGTCAACTAAATTTCTTGCATACACTGTACAAGTTGTAAATATCAAGGTACATGTCATTTTCTACTCGCTCCTCTTTGCTTCATTCTTTGGAAAAAATAATTTTTTTAAGAACGTATGATTATAAAGTAAAAAAGAAAATGTTAAATTTATGTGTAAAATTATTTTATTAAAAAAATGTATTCTTAAAATAAATTTGAAAAAAAATAATTTATGGATAACGAGGTTCACACTCTTTTGTAGATATAATATACCATTTTTGCCCCCCAGGGCACATCCAAGTTGGTGGAACAATCACTTCGCTGGGACGCTGGAAGCAAGGGTGGAGAGTTCGATTCCTGGAGTTAACACTGGGTGCTAAAATGGAGGGGAAGCCATTTGGTTGAACAAACGCCCAGCGAGGAGAGCTCTCTTTGCGGAAGGAGTCCAAATGAGTTGTGGGAACCTGGGAGCCAACAAGGACACATCCTGCGATTTACCTCCCTGAGCTGCTGAGGGGCCGGAGGTTCAGGGACAAGGATCTAGTCGGACGCAAGCCCGGACACCTTGTAAAAAAAAAAATATATATATATATATATATATATATACCATTTAGTTAAGCTATCCCGTCTAAAAAGTTGAGTTCGGTAGTATTAGTAAGCAGTTGTGATCAACCATGCTACCTTGCGCAATAAATTTGTGTTTTGTTTTTAATTAATGTTTGCCAATTTAACTAACCATTTTCATCTCGATGAGATGAGGTGGTGAGGACTAAAAGTATAGAAGTGAAAAGGACAAACAATTTTTATTTTTTTTAAGACATTATTCAATTCATATAAGAATTTAAAATTTGTTTCATTCATCTTTGAAGATCATCTCAATTGCTCTTCACATCTTTGTTTAAATCCAACGGCCACCACATGACCAATTATATTTTCATCATATATTTAACAAATTTCTTACACCAATATATAAATAACATATTTTAATCAATCATTGTGCTCCACACCCATGTGAGTGTATAGACACCCTTATATATATATAATTATTTACACCAAGCTTTATCCTCTAACCACGGGTTGTTAAAGCAAAGGTCCCTTACGTGGCTTACATGACTAATTATTTGAGTGTTAGAACGTAAAATCCCTTCCATGGCTTATTGGGATAATGTTTTTAGGCACCATTCAATTTTCTTTGCTAAGTTGTGTTCATCTCAAGCATTTTAGGATATATTTGCAACATTAGTACAATATAGGCCCCATTTGTTACACATTAATGAAAAATTTAGTTGTTATGGGCCTTACACAAGAGATAAAAGATCAAATATGGTGGCTTGATATGATAGATAACGGTCATATTTTTCATTTTAATGAACAAATAATGAGAAACAAATGGGGGCATAATGTCCAAGATTTTGGCTATTTTTTAAAGAATGTTTGACGCTGTAATGTTCATCGTACCAAACATCTTGTTGGATTTTCTATGCGATTAAGAAGCCAAATGAAAGTGAGCAATACTATCATTTGGTTCCTCAAACAACATGAATATTTGGCCCGAGCATTGTACAAAAAGAAAAGAGTTACATTGAACTAAAAAATCGTCTTAATCAAAACATTAACGGTGAAGAAATTGAGACTCCTTTCCCAACTAGTAGATTGCACCAAAGAAAAGAGCACTTCTATTCCCATCTCTATGAAAGGTGGGAAAGCTAAAAAACATGTAGAGACGTACAAGGGATTATCGCAACATGCTTACACTTATCCCTATTATGCAAATCCCCTTGTTCAGCTTCCTCACGTAGATACTAAGCCCAACTATGTATGTTTTGCATGGCATTTGGCGTCGAAAAATCTCTGATTGGCAACGTGTATTGATAGAGCGAGTTGTTCGTTGCTGGTTCCATCTTTAAGCTTTCGTTGGGATCTTGATGAGATGGCCAAGTCGTAGGCTCTCAGTCAGTGCCATCTGGCTTTGACCTCTCGAGAAAATTTTGTATTACTTGTGTATCAGTGATTTGATAGTTTATAAGCAACTGATTTGCAACAGTTGAGTTGATTGGATTCACATCCAATGGTTCAATTAATGGACGCGTCAATTTCACATTTGTGAAAAGTGTTTCCTCATTAGAGTATACAAACTGATTGTCTTCTAGCAAATGGTTCTCAATGTCATTTAGGACTCTCCGACTTGGACTAAATCCTCCAGCATCTTCCACTGACAGATAATCCAGTGGACTAAGAACATAATCGGCTTGTGATTCTTCCCAATCAGTATTTTCTCCTTCGCTCCAAACTCTCTGATCAAAAGCAGTTAGTCTTGTAGGTGACATTGTCATTGTTTTGAAGTTTTCAATCTTTCCAAGGACGAAAGGAGCAGGATACGTTCGATGAGGATACTGCATTCCAAGAAGAAATTCTGATTCATATCCGTTCAAAGTGAAAAAGGATTTAGAACCTTCATTGACAGCTGAATCAAAATAGGGAGATTCCTGGCTAGGGAAGGGCTTCTGGCTTAACGAGAACAATCGTTGATCGCATTGCAAAAGCTTCTCATAGTGTTTATCAAGCATCCTCGGAGCAAAACTCACATGGTGTCTCCTGATAGAAGACAGAAGCAAAAGCGAGAGAAATCAGCGGTTAAATAATTAGCGGAAGTAAACTTTGACTACTTGAACAAAATCCTGATAAAGGGTATGGATATTCTTTGTGAATCAAACAAATCAAGAAAACAGTAAAACTCGGTAAAGTTAAGAATTGGACTAACAGTTTGGTAATGAAACTTCAAAAGACAATTAATTGGACTATGAAATCAGAAATGAAAGAAACATTCTGTTAAACAGTTTTTTCCTCTCAATTGAAGTGGTGTTTTGAACCCAACCATAAACTTTCTTGCTAATTATAAATTAGAAGTCACTTTCCATGTCATACGGAGACAGTTTTCTTTAAAAATTTGGAAATAACAAGAATTTTGTCAATGCATTGCGGTTTATGTATTGATAATCAGAACAAATCAAGCCAAACACCTTAAACTTTTCAACTTATACATCATGAAAATGAATCTTGAAAAATATTTATGGAAAGTGGAAACAAGTTGGATACCTGCAAGTGGAAGCTTGGCCTCCAGTAAAATCCAATGCTTGGTGCCAAAGAGTATGCTTTCGAGGCTGGGGATTTGTTTCTCTGAAGAACAGAGGTGGTTGGTTCAACTGCATTCAGTTTATAGTAGCATTTAGCTGATTGTAAACTAATAATTCAAATTCTTTGATAATTACGAACGCGAAAAAATAGATATCCGAAAAAGGAGATTAACCTCAATCTCGAGAATTCCTGGTTCGTTGTCACGGATAATAGCTCTAATAGCAGTAATATTAGACCATTGTATCTCAATCTTACTCTTTAGTGCCCCAACCAATACTTCCCAAACCATTTTGTGTTTTCCATAGTATAACTTTGTTGTCAAATCGCCTTCATGCTCAGAAATCCACTGCTCACATTTCAGAGTTAGTTAAAAAAATCAAAACAATAAGATTTTAAAAGATTCTTGTGAATAAGAATCAGTGCACACCTGCCAATTTCCAATTTTAAGTAAAATTGCAGCGAAGTTCGTGGCTTTTAATTTCTCGTCAAATTTTGTTTTAGAACTCTGTCGTCCAATTCTGAGATTGCTCTTCGATGAACAATCTTCTTTCTTCCATTGGGATAACTTCATCTCCAATAAATTCAGAAAAGATGGCGTCTTTCGCAGTTTCAAACCAAGAGGACTTGACTCTTGAGGCGAATCTACGTCTCCTTCCTGCGAAATCCAATACTTTAATAAAGACACAATCAAAATGAAAATGGCCTAAATATTTGCAAAGCAAGTAACATATCTGAACCAGATCACACACTAAGATAAAAGTGATACAAAAAGTTTATACGGTAAAAACCCGTCATGATTCATGCATGTATACTGAATTACTCATTCAACAACCATTTTGGTAAAAATTAAATCCTTCCACCTGTTAATTTCCATGGCAAAATAAAGATCTTGGTCTCACATATCTAGCACTGACTAATGGGACAGGCTAACCGTCGTCACCACACCACGACCATGTTCCTGCCTTGTCTCGTTCCGATTCTTCGACTAACCAGGGAATCTGCCAGATTTGGGAGAGGTGGGGTCGGGACATATTGCCAGAATAATGCTATTCGTAGTGAAAACTGTCAGTAATCGCCCTATGTGGCATACACTTGACAATTTGGTATTTGATACATAGATATGGTAGTTATTTTTTGAATTATATATCAAATGAAAAACTGTCAAGTGTACGCTACATAGGGCGACTGTCGACAATTTTTACTGCGAATAGCATTATTCCATATTGCCATAGTAACAAAGAG